GCATCGAAATACACCGAGATAGAGTCAATGGTATTTTGGGATTATCTCAAAAGGCTTACATTGAGCGTGTCCTTACACGTTATAACATGCAACATTGCTCTCCTTCTGTGGCTCCAGTAGTTAAGGGAGATGTTTTCGGTTTATTTCAATGTCCGAAAACAGAGGTTGAAAAAGAACAGATGAGAATGATACCTTATGCGTCAGTAGTAGGAAGCCTTATGTATGCACAAGTCTGTACTCGTCCAGATATCGCTTACATTGCTGGAATGTTAGGTCGTTATCAGACCAATCCTGGTCTTGATCACTGGAAAGCAGCTAAGAAAGTTCTTCGATATCTACAAGGGACAAAAGACTATAAACTGACTTACAGAAGGAGTGATAATTTAGAAGTGGTTGGTTATTCTGATTCTGATTTTGCTAAGTGCAAAGATGACAAGAAATCCACTTCAGGGTATATCTTTATGTTAGCTGGCGGACCTATCTCGTGGAAGAGTCATAAGCAAGAGTTGACTGCAACTTCTACAATGATGGCAGAATACATTGCGCTGTACAACGCAACCTGTCATGGGATGTTGCTCAGAAACCTCATCACTGGACTCAAAGTAGTTAATTCCATCTCTCGACCATTGAAGCTTTATTGTGATAACTCAGCCGCCGTTAGTTTCTCGAACAGTAACAGTTCGACTGGCGCTGCTTTATATCTTGATACAAAGTACTTGTTCGTACGTGAGCGAGTTGAGAAAAATAAACTTTGTATTGAGCATATAAGTACTAAGAATATGCTTGCGGATCCAATGACTAAAGGTCTCCCTCCTAAGATTTTCGAAGAACATGTTTCGAAGATGGGGTTTTCTAAAGACCTTATTTAGTTGCATATTGTACTTGCTTACATTTAATAATAAAATTTCCTCATACTTTTGTTTGTTTGTCTCTGAATGTGTCTATGCATGCCTAAAGACATATAGACAACATTTATGTACAAAATAATCTTATGGGCTTAATTGTCAATTTGATCCTTAGCTTATTTAAGTTTTAAATTTGGTATTGTAGTATGATTAATGGGGGTCTTGAATTGAATATCGATCCAATGACTGTATTTCTCTGCTACAGTTTCGGTTTAGAACTAAAATGAGTATTGAAATCTGATCAGACTTATCTAATACTCATCATAAATGATTACTCGGCCAAGTGGGAGAATGTTGGACACGTTTTTATTATGTGTCCTGAGTTATCATTTATCTAATTAATTGATCATTGACCTAATAAATACCCTACGTATTTATTTGGTAATTATTCGATGGACGTAATTACCCTTATGACCTAATTAGGGTTTCCCCTTGGGTGTATATAAATAGAGGTATTAGGCAGAGATCAATACACACCAATCTTACGCCTCCTCTCTGCCTCTCTATTCTCGTGAGTCTTCCTCGCCTTAGCCATCATAACAATACACCCTAAACGGGAACTCAATCTGTGTGAGAATCATGGCCTCATCCCTAACTACGTTTACAGGATTATCAGGTACACATGATTAAATCCCTAATTTATATTTTATGTTTAAGAATTGATCAACGTATCGAGGATAGGCAAAAGCACAATACTCAACTGTTTGATCCCATGTTGTCCAATCAGGTTGAGGAAGAAGATCACCTACTGGCTCAAATGTTTCCCATCTGTACAATTGGAAGTTCTGTGCAGGTGCTTCAGTTGAATTTCGTTGAGAAGAAAATTCATCATCAAAAGTGTTAAAAGAAGAAGCAGCACCATTCTCAAAGCCTGACAGCGGCATGGACTGAAAAGTTGATATTGCTGTAGCTGCAGCAGGACTAATTCTCCGAGAAGTTCGATAGGCAACACCGAGTAGTGCACCACCATGCAAATTAATAACCGGTTCACTGCGTATGCCCGCGGACCTCATGAGCACATTTGAGGTCCCATCTTCCAATAAGATACAGGCTTGGACAGTCGCAGATAAAGCCATGGTTGTCAAGTTGTCGCCTAGGCCACAACTAGTCGCCGACTAGTCGTCCGGGCGGTTTTGCCTCTGCCTTTTGCTCTTGGACTAGCGCCTAGGGAAGACTAGGCGATAAAGCGTGCAAAGCGACGCTTAGTCGCGCGTAGGAGACGCCTAGTGGGTGAAAGAAATTGTCCAATTTGACCTAGCCCAATTGACCTGACCCAACAAGACCGGACCCAAATTTCATTCATTTTTAAAATTTTCCATAAAACACGGCCTCTTCGACGCAATCCATCCAATCGACAGTCAATCAAGGGTAGCGACTCTCCTCCATCAGCGATGTTTTCGAGTTCCAGCACTTCCGTGACTTCCAACGACTCTCCTCCAGGTGGCTCCATCAGCGACTCTCCTCCATGGGTAAGATTTCAGTTTTCTTTTGTTTTCTTAATATTTCAGTTTTTTTCTGATTTCAGTTAATATTTTGATTTTTTTCTTATTCTAGTATTTTAGTATTTCAGTTTTTTATTTTCAGTTTAATATTTCAGTTTTTTTTCTGATTTCAGTTAATATTTTGATTTTTTTCTTATTCTAGTATTTTAGTATTTCAGTTTTTTATTTTTAGTTTAATATTTCAGTTTTTTTTCTGATTTCAGTTAATATTTTGATTTTTTTCTTATTCTAGTATTTTAGTATTTCAGTTTTTTATTTTCAGTTTAATATTTCAGTTTCTTTTCTGATTTCAGTTAATATTTTTGTTTTATTTTGGTTTGTTATGTACTCTTTGTTAAGTGACTTTATGTGCTATCTTTAAACATAAGTTTGCTTTGGTTATGGTATTTTGTCACACACACACACACACACATATATATATATATTCATGTTGGGTTAATGTAGATATATATAATGTTAAAAATTTCAATACTAATTGTGATTTTGTCGACTAGTCTACGACTAATCTACGACTCGTCGCCTAGTCCACTAGTCTCCCCGTCACCGATTCGACTCGCCTTGTTGACTTAACAACCATGGATAAAGCAGCAGAAGCAGCTGCAGCTTGGGCTGCAGCAGCAGCTTCCTTTGCTTTTTTAGATGAACCAGCTTTAGGAATTATAGGCATCCTGGGGGGTAGTGCAGATTCTAGCAAAGTGAATCTATCCCTAGAAATGTCCCATGCCAGTAGTCTTGCACTGCCAGAATCAACTATTGCCCAATCACTCACCTTGTAAACTCAAAAGTAAGGTATATCAGGCCATACAATTGCCACATACCTGCATGATGTGGTCAATCAAAATCACTCAGCTCGTCAAAAAATGTCAAAGTAGTAAATGTCATACGACTGTGGAAGGGCTAAAAGGATGGAGTATCATGATATCAAAGATGCACTAGCAAGTTGATGGTTTGTGAAGACTGGGTGTGTGAGTACTCACTTTCCTGAACTGCTTACAGAAAGCACAGAGTATGAATCATGTGGAACAGGAGTAAAAATATGTTTTCTAGTTTGCTTAACAAAGAGTTGTTCAGGAGCGTCTACTCTGAACCTTCTTGTGTCACTCAAGGATCCATTAATTGCAAGGGCTGGACTGGCAGTGTTAGACAACTGGAATTACAGAAGCTTCAATTCCCTCTCAACTATATAGACAGCTGTATGTTCGCGACTGCTTGGATGTGTTGGCAGTGGAGCAACAGGTGGAAGATCGGCCATCAAAATCACACAAAATAACACCTACATTAGTTCCAGTTGCAACAAGTTGGGGCTGTAGAGGATGTGCGACCATAGAGTATACCTACGATAGCAAATAAAAGAACACCTTATGATATTATCAAGAGTTTTTGAAAGGGAAAGAGAAATGATTCTGACCATTCCCTAGCTAGTCTTTTCCAGGGCTAGAACTCATTCTGAAGTGAATAGAAGAATTCCTTTGGGAATATATATGAAATCCAGAAATTAGGAAGTTATTGTGGTAAGCACAAAGAGATGAGGCTTCCCTCAATTAAAACTGCAAAAATGAATTTGAAGTATTTTTCTCCAGAAATTTAGTTACATGTAATCAAGAAGTTGAGCAATATGCATTCCTCCAGTATGCTCATCAGTGACAATCCATAAGGGAACGTGTTTTCGTTTTATAGTTAAAATAAACAAATACCTATCCGATAACACAATGACTCATCACATCAAGTTTGGTTAGTAAAGGTTCTCCTAATATTTCAAGATGAAATTTGCTTCAAAACTTCAAAAGACTGAATTATGAAATGGATTTGTGTAGATAACACCACCTGGATACAAGATTTTTCAGGTCACCCCAAACTAGCAGCACGTAATAAGGCTGTTCCATGAAAAATAACATACTCTGAGCTTCATGTGTGAAACAAGTAGTTGACACTAGTGAAGATAGATCACAAAAAGTAGTCCTTGTAAGAGCTGAATAAGTGGGGTATTCAATAGCCCTGCAAAAGTTCAACAAGTTATGTTCACCTGAAAAGAGGGAAGCACTTGTTTCTCCGTCATTTAACACGCATACAACCAGAAATATTAAGATTCTTATTTCATACGTAAGCAGCTTCAGGAGGAGGAAATGCATACAAAATATGGGAATCTTTAACACATGTCAAGGTATCAATGTTTGGAGCACGAGGGTGGCACCAAGATGCCACACTATGGCAAGTCATTTTTGAACCCGGTTTCATTTTACGTACCTCCTGCATACAGAATAGTTCAGACAGTTGGAGAGTATGAAGCCAATGCTACACCACACACACACAAAGCATAACACAATATTGCAAAGAGCGTGATAAGATGCATTACCTTAAATGCAAATGTATCCCATATTACTAAATTTTTATCAGCTCCAATTGTAATGAGTTGGGGGGCACTGCCTATCACCCTAAAGAGCTCCACAGCGATAACACCACCATCATGGGCCTTGGACATATAATCAGAGGGTTCAAGTGCTATTAGCATAATTTGAAACCATGTGAAATCATAAATATTAAAGCATTGCTACATGAAAAGGAGAACATAGGAGCCCCCCCCCCCCTTGGGAAGAGAGCCATAAACTTCCACGGCTATTACGATTCCTGTATTCCAGTGATATAGGAGTTGATGGTCATCCAATTTGTATGATATTCTGAATATGGATATCACAGCCTGTCCTGACCAAAATAATGCTACATCCTAAAAGCCATTTTTTACTGCAGCTTTATGTACGCTGCCCAATAATGTGTTATGCCAGCATTTGTGTACATTTGACTATTCCATTGTAGCATTTTATTGATATACCTTGCATAAATTTAAGTTAAAATTAAGGAGCATTTGAACCCAAACAGTACCATGTTTTATGAAACAGCTACAATGACAGATTCTAATAGCCAAGGTATGTTATGATTCTAATTTTATATCAGAACAATGAGTCCGATAACCTGAATGCATTTTTTATAGGAGTTTGAGAATCATGTATCTGAAGAGTACTATCTCTTGCCTTGTCGTATTAACATACAGTTTAATCAACTATGGCATGTGGTCTGATTTTAACTTTGAATCATAAGCTTGAGAATCGAAGGAATATGTGACTCATGCCATTTCTCTTTCTTCTAAGCAAATTCTAACCACACCCTCTTCACTTTTCAATACTTCACTTAAACTCCATGAAGTCAAACTCAAACCATGAAAGTTTATTACCGGATGGACAGAGAACTAATCAAATCCCTATGATATGCACAATATCTACATACCATTACACTCCCCCTCATGTTATAGTGAACATGTCCAAGTTGTTACTTGTTACATGAGTTATTAACCCGAGGCAAATTTAATGCTTTTTTTGTGAAAACGTCTCCCAACTATTCACCCGTCTTCACAATCCTTGTACAAATAAATCAAAATGGCAACCAACTTCAATATGCTTGGTTTGCTCGTGAAAGAGAATAGAATATGCAATTTGAATAGCTGTAACCCCACAACCTAGCTGGAATCTGAACTATCTACTTAGTATATGATGTATCCAGATCATCTCACATGTTGCTTGTGCCATAGCTCTATATTCGGCTTATGCACTACACCGAGAACCAACACTCAGGTTCTTTCTCTTCTATGGTACACGGTTTACCATTATAACTTTGAAATTTATAATTCCCCTATATTAAGAACTTAAATAATAACAATAAATTTTCAGTAAATATCTACTGTGAAATTTTAAAAATTTCTTGGATACTTTTTATTTAATAAAACCATGAATAAATTCTAGATTACTTGCAAAACCCTCATTCGTTTCATTTATGTAACAACCATGGATAAATCTATTTTAAAATTCTGAATGTTTTATTAATTCTTTGGATATATCATACTTTTTTTTAAATAATTCTTAATTTAATGGTACATTAATGTTTTTAACAGTTAGTAATAAAAACATACGGAGTACTAATATAAAAAAGAAAGAATGAAGTAGAATAAACTAATGATGTCATAAATTATATTTAAATTTACTATGATTTGCTTAGTATCTTTTTGAATTTCATTTGGGTAACTTAAAGGGATGGAATTGCAAAACAATGTGTCACCTCATTTGAAACAAATAGTAAAACTCCGTGGAAGAGATCTTCATCCCAAAAGGGTCTGGAAAAAGAAGTAAGTGATTGCTGTCCCACTGCAGTCAAGATAAAAGGTCTGAACGGAACAAATAGAAAGCCACTACGTGGATTCATAATAAAGCTGAATAGCAACCCACCAAAAGGAATAAGGAGACATTTAGAAGAGTTACCATTGGAAAGCCATCGGTTGGTTCAAAACAAAATTTGAGATGTTTTTTTCTACCGTATTACCATAGTCCATATCATGGTTGTTAAGTCGACAAGTCGAGTCGAGTCAGTGACGGGGAGACTAGTGGACTAGGCGATTAGTCGTAGACTAGTCGTAGAGTAGTCAACAAATCACAATTAGTATTGAAATTTTTAACATTATATGTATCTACATTATCCGAACATGAATATATATATATATATAAAACAAAATACCATAACCAAAGCAAACTTATGTTTAAAGATAGCACATAAAGTCACTTAACAAAGAGTACATAACAAACAAATATCCTTCAATCTTTAAAATAACACACCAAGAAAGATAATTAACACAAAAAAAGAAGTCAAAGGACATATTAAAATAGTTAATTCCATGTTTTGAGTTATCAAATATCATCATCCAACGTTATGCCACCATGTCAGTTTTCTTCCATTGTGGTGTCATAGACAGGCTGAGAGATACAACCATAGTCATCATCAACATCTTCATCATCATTAGGAAAAACATCAATCTCGGTTTCCATATCATCATCCACCAATCCCGTAATTGAAACACCTCGTCTACGATAGACAATCTCGGCATTTGACGTACTTGCACAGTTGCACGTTCACTTGTGCAACTTGTACCACTTCTCCTACGCAAGTCACGTCCCTCAAGATTGTTTGAAGCACCAGTTGCCTCATCCACATGACTCCACAAAAGATCATCTCCCAAATGAACAACTTCCTCATTGGCATCTACTCATTCATTATTCCATTGAAAATCTTCTAATACCAAAGCGTTGAAGTTATACCCTTGTTCTCGACGTCGTTTGAAGCGATTGACAATCTTACGATTATGTTTCACATACACCAAATCATTCAATCTTTGATGCTCGAGTCGATTTCTTTTCTTTGTATGTATCTAATTAGAAAAAAAATAGTTAGTGTGAAAGTGTTATAATCCATGGACTAACTTCAAAATAAATTATTAAATTTTGATTACTTACAAACGAAAAAGTACTCCAATTACGTTCACACCCAGATGAAGAACAACAAAGACCAATTATTCTTCTAGCAAATGTTAGAAGCTCTGGAGTATATCCACCAAACGAATTCCACCAATCAACTCAAAAAATTTAATTAAAGCATAAAAATACTATTAAATTTTATTTTACTTCCCACAAGATTAATTACTTTAAAATATACTTGGGGACATGAGCGTTCGTTGCTTCACTGGTATACTCTTTGAAAAGCCTCCTCTTACTTCATCATATTCACCCACTTGCTGAATAATCTGCATTTGCAATCTGTCATCACCTATTGTCATTTTCTCTACGACCTCATTAAACAAGACCCGAAGCCTAGATGCATATGTCTCATCCTTGTCTTTGAGTAAAAATTACTTGCATAGATTTAAAAAAATATGCAGCTGCATATATTTTTTGCTCCATTTGATTCACCCATCGAATTTAATTATGTCCATCACTTTTTTGGCAATGTTGATTTGTTGGAAAAGGACTCCTTAATTTTTCCATAGCAACAATTCATAGCTGCTATCACCTCTGTCATGGCCGGAAGCTCATCTCCATCGACAATTCTCAACACAATTAAAAGAGGTTGTGATGCCCTTATACAATCCTCTACCACCTCCCAGAACTTAGAAGAAAGTACAATGTCACATACCTTTTTTCCCNTAATTATGTCCATCACTTTTTTGGCAATGTTGATTTGTTGGAAAAGGACTCCTTAATTTTTCCATAGCAACAATTCATAGCTGCTATCACCTCTGTCATGGCCGGAAGCTCATCTCCATCGACAATTCTCAACACAATTAAAAGAGGTTGTGATGCCCTTATACAATCCTCTACCACCTCCCAGAACTTAGAAGAAAGTACAATGTCACATACCTTTTTTCCCGCCTCTGTGTTTGCTAGCTTAAATTTACTCCAATCTTCACTAACGAAGAGGCTTCTCAATGCATTATTGTGCTTATACATACTCTGAAAAGTGAGGAAAGCTGTGGCAAATCGTGTAACTCTGGGTCGAACAATTTCCTTCCCATTGGTTTTTTCTCTCAATGCAGCATGAAGTCTTACATGTCTGTAGACAAACTTAGCCAAAAGAGCCTAGGAATACAAGACTCAAGTACTTTTCCAACGGCTTTGTCACCGGAACCATTATGAGTTACCACTTCAACAAATTTATCTCTTCCTATCTCTTCAATTTTTTCTTCCAACAAATCTGCTAACATACTTGCATCATTCACCTAACTTGAAGCATCAACTGAACCTATGAAAAAAGTCCCTTCACTACTCTTTTCCAGAAAATTTATTAAATGCCGACCTCTTGTGTCTGTCCACCCATCTGACATAAGTGTGCAACGAGTTTTTCACCAAACCTTTTCATGCTCCTTTTTCAACTTCATGCTCTCTTTTTTTGCTTTTTGAAGTAGCGGCACACGCAAGTCATGATATTATGGTGGTCTCAACCCAGGTCCAAATTGCCATTGTTGTCAAGTCGCACCTAGGCCACGACTAGTCGCCGATTAGTTGTCCGGGCGATTTTGCCATGACGCTTTGCTCTTCGACTAGCACCTAGGGCACACTAGGCAATAAAGCATGCAAAGCGTCACTTAGGCGCGCGTAGGAGACGCCTAGTCGGTGAATGAAATTGCCCAATTTGACCTAACCCAATTGACCCGACCCGACCCAAATTTCATTAATTTTTAAAATTTCCGATAAAACACGGCCTCCTTCGATGCAATCCATCCAATCGACAGTCAATCCAGGGTTGCGACTCTCCTCCATCAGCGACATCTTCCAGTTCCAACACTTGTGTGACTTCCAGTTCCGACTCTCCTCCATGGGTAAGATTTCTCAATGTTTACTTTGTTATCACTAAAGTATACTCTTTCTTTGATTTAATTTCCATTGATTTGGTTCATTAAACTATAGAGTATACTATACTTTAAAATTTTCAGTTTTCTTCTGTTTTCTTAATATTTCAATTTTTGTTTTTCTGATTTCAATTAATATTTTGGTTTTTTTCTTATTCTAGAATTTTAAAGGTTGATCAACTTAATTTAATATTTATTTCGGGACAAATGGGAGATAATAATATCCGTCACTACGACGACGATCCATCCAAGGACCCCAAACGAAAAGCCAGCTCTAATGATCCCGGATGGAAATATGGGTTTTGGCCAAATATGAACAACAAAAACCTTGTGGAGTGTACATTATGCCACAAACAAATTTATGGTGGCATAGGACAGTTCAAACGTCATCTTGCGGGTGGATTTGGGGATATTGCGAAGTGTCCAAATACAACAATAGAGATATCTAGAGAAATGCATCAGTATTTGAACAAGAACAAGAGAAAAAAATCCATGTCGTTGGAGGTTGAAGATGATCATGAAGTTGGTGATGATGATATGAATGTGGATGATAGGCCTATGGGTTCCTCTATAGCTTCAAATCCTTCTATTACTGAACCAAGTTTAGGTACAAATGCCAAACGGAAGCAAGCTATCCTCAAGTTAACTCAACCACAATTACAATCAGTTGCTTGCATGGTAAGAAAGACGCCTCAAGAAGTGGTTGAAAAAAGACATGCCAGGGCCCAACTCAAAGAATGACGGAACTGTCTGTCAAAAGTAAAGAAGATGAAGAGCGGGTTCATATGCATATAAATGATTTCTTCATCGAAAATGGGATACCATTCAATACTGCTAATTCCAGAAGTTTTGAGATTATGATAGAATCAATTGGGCAATATGGACCTGTGTTGAGACCACCATTATATCACGAGTTGCGTTTGCACTACTTCAAAAAGCAAAAGAAGAGACCATGAAGTTGAAAAAGGAGCAGGAAAAGGTTTGGTCAAAAACTGGTTGCACGCTTATGTCAGATGGGTGGACAGACACAAGAGGTCGGCTAGTCCTGAAGGGACTTTTTTCTTAGGCTCAGTTGATCTTTCAAGTCAAGTGAATGATGCAAGTATGTTAGCAGATTTGTTGGAACAAAAATATGAAGAGATCGGAAGAGATAAAGTTGTTCAAGTGGTAACTGATAATGGTTCCAATGACAAAGCCGCTAGAAAAGTACTTGAGTCTCGTATTCCTAGGCTCTTTTGCACACCATGCGTAGCCCACTATTTTGGATCTCATTTTGGAAGACATTGGCAAGTTGGCATATTTTAAGAGTAAGATTGATAATGCAAGGCATGTGACTAAGTTTGTCTACAGACATGTAAGAATTATGCTACATTGAGAGAAAAAACCAATGGAAGGAAATTGTTTGACCCAGAGTTACACGATTTACCATAACTTTCCCCACTTTTCAGAGTATGTATAAGCACAATAATGTATTGAGAAGCCTCTTCGTTAGTGAAGATTGGAGTAAATCTAAGCTAGGAAACACAGAGGTGGGAAAAAAGGTATGTGACATTGTACTTTCTTCTAAGTTCTGGGAGGTGGTAGAGGATTGTATAAGGGCATCACAACCTCTTTTAATTGTGTTGAGAATTGTCGATGGAGATGAGCTTCCGGCCATGACAGAGGTGATAGCAGCTATGAATTGTTGCTATGGAAAAATTAAGGAGTCCTTTTCCAACAAATCAACATTGCCAAAAAAGTGATGGACATAATTAGATTCGATGGGTGAATCAAATGGAGCAAAAAATATATGCAGCTGCATATTTTTTTAAATCTATGCAAGTAATTTTTACTCAAAGACAAGGATGAGACATATGCATCTAGGCTTCGGGTCTTGTTTAATGAGGTCGTAGAGAAAATGACAATAGGTGATGACAGATTGCAAATGCAGATTATTCAGCAAGTGGGTGAATATGATGAAGTAAGAGGAGGCTTTTCAAAGAGTATACCAGTGAAGCAATGAACGCTCATGTCCCCAAGTATATTTTAAAGTAATTAATCTTGTGGGAAGTAAAATAAAATTTAATAGTATTTTTATGCTTTGATTAAGTTTTTTGAGTTGATTGGTGGAATTCGTTTGGTGGATATACTCCAGAGCTTCTAACATTTGCTAGAAGAATAATTGGTCTTTGTTGTTCTTCATCTGGGTGTGAACGTAATTGGAGTACTTTTTCGTTTGTATGTAATCAAAATTTAATAATTTATTTTGAAGTTAGTCCATGGATTATGACACTTTCACACTAACTATTTTTTTCCAATTAGATACACACAAAGAAAATAAATTGACTCGAGCATCAAAGATTGAATGATTTGGTGTATGTGAAATATAATCGTAAGATTGTCAATCGTTTCAAAAGGCGTCGAGAACAAGGGAATAACTTCAACCCTTTGGTACTAGAAGATTTTCGATGGAATAATGAATGGGTAGATGCCAATGAGAAAGTTGTTTATTTGGGAGAAGATCGTTTGTGGAGTCATGTGGATGAGGCAACTGGTGCTTCAAACAATCTCGAGGGACGTGACTTGCATAGGAGAAGTGGTACAAGTTGCACTAGTGAACGTGAAAGTACGTCAAATGCCGAGATTGTCTATCGCCGACGAGGTGCTTCAATAACGGGATTGGTGGATGATGATATGGAAACTGAGATTGATGTTTTTCGTAATGATGATGATGATGTTGATAATGAGTATGGTTGTATCTCTCCGCCTGTCTATGACACCACAATGGAAGAAAACTGACATGGTGGCATAACGTTGGATGATGATATTTGATAACTCAAAACATGGAATTAACTATTTTAATATGTCCTTTGACTTCTTTTTTTGTGTTAATTATCTTTCTTGGTGTGTTATTTTAAAGATTGAAGGATATTTGTTTGTTAT